AAGCCGAAGCCCTTCTCCTGGCCGAAAAGACTTCCCTCCGCCTCCACGACTCCACTGTAGAACCTACCCGCACCTGAGCCCTTCTCCTGGTCCTGACGAATGCTCTTAATGGCGAGGGAGTCTCCGTTGTCGAAGAAAAGCTTCCAGTCCTGAGAATACGTCGTGTTCGTGACCGGGGACGTCCAAGTAGTCGCATTTCCGGGAGCCATCTTGAAGCGGACAATGTGAAGCCCGTCCTCGGCACGAATGGTGGCGAAGCGCAGCTTCTGGCTCGGCTCTGCGGTGTTAGAGTACCATATACTGGCTCTGATGCCGCCAGGGAAGTTGAGTCCGAACCAGGTGAAGTTGTTGGGGCCGCCGACGCCGTGCTGGCGGTCGTACCAGGTCAAGGATCGCGTGGGGTCGACTTCGAGCGTGGTCCCGTTGATGGTGAAGGAGCCCTGGGTTTTGCAGCTCGGCAGCGACCATTGCGTGGTAGTCCCGGTTCCCCAACGAAAGCGACCGACGCCGCCGTTGAGTATGACGGGCGAGGAGGCGTCAAAGGTGAGGTTGAACGCGTATGTGTCGTACTCACCCCACGTGTTCAACGACGAGAAGCTGTCACTGGAAGGGCTCTTAAAGGCAGAACCATCGACTGCGATGTCGAGCAGGCCGTTCTTGATGGTCTGGTTTCCCTGCAGGGGCGCGAGTCCAGCCGTGAGCCAGTAGTTGCTGGTGTCTTCGAGATCCAGAATGGATGACTGAAAGATACTCTGGCCGGTACCGGTTGGCATCTGCTGAGACATGATTGCATACTGACGGTCATTGGAAGCTGTGACGAAAGATGCGGCCCAGTAGGAGTTTGATTGTTCAGAGGCCAGTTGAGACTCCTGGAAGGAGTAGAGAGTTGGCAAGCTCGACTATATGGACTAGCCTTTAGCACTGACTCCCTTATTTTCCTGCATTGGATGTATTTCAGGATATATGAGAAGAGCGTATCTTACCCCGAGACTGTCTATACCTGTGGTATCAGGTACGATGTCAAACCTCACAGCGGAGGTAGCTCCGACCAAAAGTGCCCAGCAGCCCCTGCTAAGACGTCTCATTTTGCTGCTGCACTGAAGCCAAGGCGAAAGAATGCGAAAGGCTCGGATGATGACACTGAAGCACCCTGGAGATTGGTTGGGTTGTGGAGATAGGTAAAGTGAAGGGAAGCATCGAGCAAGAAGGGCCTCTTATAGCTAGCAAGAGTGAATACTTCGGACTCCTCAAATCTTATTTTGAAAAGAAAATTGCGAGTCTAAAGTGCCAAGGAGTTTAAAAAACTCTGGACACATTCGGTGGCAGGGCTATAGGGACTCACAACTTACAGGCGCTACCCACAATCTTAGACAGGCTCGTTGGCTCTCCGTTGACGATGGGCCATACGCTCAAGCTTGTTACTTACTTAAGCCTTATTTCGAACTCGACTCAACTCCATCGAAACGGCGATCACAAATCATGCTGATGGTGTGTAAGCAGGGAAAACATGATGTGCGAGTTTGACTAATGTAAACAACAAGAGTAGACGGATCTCCTCACTTGGGACGGAAATCCATCGGACTGCATGACGTTTCCCCCATCAACAAAAGCCGGATTCTTGAATCGGGCCCGCGACGGTGCCGACCACCGAGCTCCATGCCGCGTCTCTCGCACTCCTAGTGGGAATAAGCCACGAAGACGGGGTCGGCACTTATAAGATCCCTTGAGGGAATTGCGTGCCAGGCTGCCAGGCTGCCAGGCCCACAGCCACCCAAGCCACTCTCGTTTGTAAACCTCAGCCCAGTGTCACTCAAACGTGCAAACTCTATAGAAGTTTCCGCTTACTTGATTGCATAGATTATGTTCCGTTACTACGTAGTTGATGGACGTCTTTGTACAGTCTGAGCTGTATTGAATCGTAAGGGAGCATACTTCACTCAGCCACGTTGCAGCCCAAGAATTACGTGCGCGGCGTCCCAAGTTCGCCAAGTTGCTTCAATCCGAACTGAAGTCTCGATGGTCGAACGACAGGCAAAAGACCGAGCTCTTGTCAAAATTTGGACGAAGTTCATCCGTAAGCACTGTCAAGACTCAAGAGTCTCCGTCAACAAGTTCTGGTGGCAAATAGTGGAAAAGACTTCCGAAAGCGGACTTGGTTTACCGAAGACTGTGGAGCCTCCCGTCGATCAGAAAATGCTCCCGAAACTTTGACCTGGAATACCCCTTTAACTTCCCCTATCAAAATGCGAGCTGAATGACTAGTTACCCCAGATAATGCATACTGAGACGGCTGTCATCCTTGGACGTGGAACTTCTCGTGAACGCAATCATGAAGGGTCTCTAGGCCCCGAATCCCGCTCAGATGCCCTGATGGCACTTGTCCCTTTGATGTGCGTCAATCGGGAAATCCCACGACCCAGCGGACATTTCCAACAGTTGAGCAGAGTCCAGAACCTCTGCGGAGTCAAGGGCTTTAGGAGTTCGCGACGACACCGACATTGTAAGTGACGTTGCAAGTGGTGGAACCCGCTCCATCGAAATGTCCAAAAGCAGTAATTCGGTATCGAGCCACTTACATCGGGACTGTATTGAAATACCAACGATGATGCGACTCAGGTTTCCCAAATCTGAGTATTCAGAGATCAGACATTCTAGCACAGATCTTTTGATACATTCTATTTGAAAGCACTTCATTTTAATTAATATGACTGATCAACCCTTCAAAGTTATCGTTGTCGGCGGCGGGCCGAGTGGTATCACGGCGGCACACGTGTTGCAGCAGGCTGGCATCGACTTTGTCATCCTTGAGAGGAGAGATAGCATTGTCGATGATGTTGGTGCCAGCTTGGTCCTCAGTCCTGGCTCCTTGCGTGTGTTTCATCAACTTGGGATCCTCGAAAATCTGATGGAAATTGGCAACATGTTGTCATCAGGCACAGGATTCACCTCCGACGGCCACAAGTTCAAGCAAAACTTGATCGGCGATTACATGATTAAGAAGTAAGCAGCCAACTACTGCTCGTTTTCGATGTGAAGAAATCCCATGCTAATAACTGCTGCTTACAGTCACGGCGCAGGCCTCACCACGTTCCACCGTGCCCACCTGATCCAGGTCCTCTACGACACTCTCCCCGAATCAGCAAGAGCGCGCTACTTCACCGGAAAGAAGCTCGCAGACATCGAGTCGACCGAGAAGGGCGTCACGGTGACCTGCGAAGACGGCTCAACGTACTCTGGAAACATGATCATTGGCGCCGACGGCGTCCACTCCGCCACCAGACGCCATATGCGCAAGCTCGCCCTCGCCGAGGACCCCAACCGCGACTGGGACCCGATCAACCCGTACAAGATCCAGTACCAGTGCCTGTGGGCTTCTTTCCCGCGACCCACCGACGCCGGGCAAGGGTGCGAGACGCAGAGCAAGGATAAGTCCATCATGTACCTCACCGGCAAGGAGAGGGGCTGGATCTTCCTTTACGAGAAGCTCACCGTGCCCATCCCCGAGAGAATCTCCTTCACGCCCGAGCAGCTCGAGGAGTACGCCGAGCGGTTCGCCGACTGGCCCGTCGCGGAGAATATCACGGTCAAGGACGTCTTCAAGGAGCGGTACAGCGCGGGCGGCGCCGGTCTCGAGGAAGGCATCTGCAAGAACTGGAGCTGGGGCGGGCGCATCGTGCTCGTCGGCGACGCCGTGCACAAGTTCACCCCCAACGCCGGACTGGGCTTCAACAACGGCCTGCAAGACGTTGTCGCCGTGTGCAATCGGCTGCAGAAGCTCACGGCCAACGGCAACAGCCCTTCTCCCGACGACCTGCAGAAGCTCTTTGACAGCTATCGCGAGGAGAGACACGTCCTCTTGGAGAAGGACCTGGATGCGTCGGCGCGGTTAACGAGGTCGCAGGCCTGGGAGTCGACGTTTGACTGGATCATGGCGAGATATATCATGGCGTTTTCGTTTGTGCAGAAGATCTTCTTCACGCTCAACATGTCTCCGTCCATTCAGAAGGCCAAAGTGTTGGACTTTGTACCGGCCAAGGAGGTTTTCAACGGCAGGTACAAGTGGTTGACCCCTTTCCCGAGCGAGAAGTAGTTTGGCATGTTACGTTTGTTTTTTTCTATTTTGCGGTTTTTTTTTGTTTCAGCTTATTAGAGCATGTTAATTTGAGCGTGAAGCCGGAGTTAGATACATAGATGGGGACGACTAGAATTTGTACGAATAGCAGCGATAGAGAATCACTTTTCCCCCCATCATTATCTGTATTATTATCAGTGACTTGTATGAACAGGGTCATCAATTTCGAGTTGCAAGCCAGTGAGCTAAAGCGCGCCGAATCAACTTCCTTCCACCGTGCCTTAGTAGTCTTTCAGGAACTATGTGGGAGGCCATGACTTACAGAACAGAGTCTTGGGACTCGAAAGAAAATATATCACACTTGCTGGTTTCGTCAGACAGACGTTGACTCAAGGCCACACAACTCAATCTGTACCTGAACTAGTGACGTGCAGGAGGAAGCGAAACTCTAATTAATCACCGGGGGTATGAAAGTCGGCAGTTGTTAGAATACCATGCCAAGAGATCCGACAAAAGTTTACCGTCTGAGGCTCTGCTATTAGTCTGCATTGGAAAGAAGGGACAAGGCAAGACAGAATCGCGAGTTAATTCGGAAACTTGCACGTCAGACCTGTCGCTTTTTACGGTTGAAAGTCGAAAGCTCAGGAGCATTTTTGTGAAATTCGGGCCAAAGGCTCGACGACACAAGCAAGGCCGGGATCGCCGCAGTTCATCGGATAATTGTTCCGTCCGCAGTCCGTAATCGTCCGTAATGGAGGTCAGAGACCGAAGAAAGGACACCGTTTCCTTGATCTGTCGGACGGACTCACGGACACCGAAGCTGGGCGCGACAGTCGGCGAATCTTGGCTCCACATCGGAGACGGCGGCCCGGCGGATACCCTGCCTCCTTTCGGTAAGAAAATCCACTTGGACATCCGGGGGCCGGAACTCTACTATATCGCCATGCCCACCGCTACGTGTAGTTTTCGAGTGACTGATAATCAGTTCCCGTCGTCTGCTTGAGTTTGATTGACCTTGATGGTTGCGCACTCCTACAGACTCTCACACACTCACGCTACGTCTCTACTCATCTCCGTCTCTGGTTCCAGGGGCATACTTACGCCCATCTCAACACCATGTCATCGTCCTACGGAAGCTGCCGCTGCGGTAACATCAAGATATCCTTCAAAGGAGACCCCATAACCACAGTTCGTCAACACCCGACATACCACGTTCCCCGTGGGACTTACACACCGTCAACTAACCCCGAACCCAGGCCGCATGCCACTGCCTCGACTGCCGCAAAGTCTCAGGCAGCGCCTTTGGCGTAAGCATCCTAGTCCCAGCCGCCGCCTTCGCGTGTGACAAGGGCACGCCGACAGACTACGCCAGCACGTCTGACAGCGGCAACGAAGTCGTCAACCACTTTTGCGGAAGCTGCGGCGTCACGCTCTGGGCTGACGGAGCGTCCTCCCCGTTCAAGTTCGTCAAGGCCGGCGTGTTGAATGATGCTGCTGCGCTGGATAGGTTGAAGCCCGCTGCTGAGATCTATACCTGTCGACGTGCCGCGTGGTGCTCGGCTTTGGAGGGAGCCCAGCAGAAGGAAAAGATGTAGGGGACGGATGGCACAGGGGGGGGGAGGGGGGAGGAGGGGCTCTTTATCAGTGATTTGGACGACTCTACCTAGTAACTTCGTTGACTTCTTCATACCGAGTATACACGGGGAAGGAAGGTCTCTTACACGAGTGGTCTACTTGCCGATGTGTGAGGGTCCGCCGGCCCGCGCCGATGGGATCCCGCGCGGCTGGGCAGATGCGCGAGCAAGCTAACAAACCTCGCATGTAGCCCAGGAAACTCGTTGGTCCGGCTGAGGCAAGCTTTCCCCAACCAACAGCTTTACTTCATACTTGAAGAGCCCCGCGTCGCCCGGAGAGAGAACATGCAGCCGCACTAAATTGAAATCGAATCGAAAGAATCAATGTGTGAGAGACCCGAAGCTGGGGTTCCCCTTATCATGGCGATCATCTCCAACTCCTCTAAAAGTGGCCCTTTCACATCAATCGGCCAACCTGAGTGTTACACATCATTAGGCATGGGACGCTTCCCATCGCCGTGGAGGTCGAGCAACCCCTCCCAAAGACAATGAGGATTGGTAATCGTGTTTTTCGACGGCTTGACACTTATATAAGGATATACAGAATGCCAGAGCTACTGAACCATAGAGGACAAGATATTAGATGCTCAAAGTTCTTGAGATGAGGAACTTCCACAGCTTCACCTCGAAAGCCATTCGTAGCTTCGCTTGTGCCTGAACAAAATCCCATCACCAACCCCGACTTCGAGTCTGAACCTGTTGTCCCGATGCCTCCATTCGTCTTCGTAGCCTCGAAAACAGCCCTCATCACCGGAGGCGCATCAGGCATCGGCCTCGCCGTCGCCAAGAAATGTCTCGGCTACGGCATGAAGGTCCTCATCGTCGACAACAACGACGGTTTCTTGGCCTCGGCTCGACGTAGCCTGGAAGAAGGCAAGGTCTTGACTGCTCAAGCAGACGTCAGCAATCTCGAGGACTGGGCTCGTCTCAAGAAACGCGTCGACGATGAATTTCAGGGTGAGAGACCGCCTCATTTGATGTTGCCTTGCCCCGAGTAGACAGACATGCTAACATACAACACGCCAGGCCGCATCGACTTCCTCTTCCTCAACGCCGGGATCCAGCCTTCTTCAGCGTGGGACGACCCCTCGATCTTTCAAACCATCTTCAACGTAAACCTCTTTGGCGTAATCAACGGTATCGCAACATTCAAATCCACCGTCTCATCGTCGTCGTCGTCCTCCTCCTCCTCCACGGCCATCGTAATCACAGGCTCAAAACAAGGCATCACAAATCCACCGGGCAACCCAGCCTACAACGCCAGCAAATCCGCCAGCAAATCCGCCGTCATCGCCGAACACCTCTCCTACGACCTCCGCGACTCCTCTCCCAGCACCAGCGTCTTTCTTCTCGTGCCGGGATGGACGTTTACAAGTCTCGGACGCAGCAAAGAGGGACGCACGCGGGAAGAGAGACCTGCTGCCGCGTGGACTCCGGAGCAAGTCGCAGACTACTTGGAGGCCAAGATGGCAAAAGACGAGTTCTACGTCATCTGTCCCGATAACGAGGTGACGGAGGAGATGGACGCCAAGAGAATGCTCTGGGCTGCGGAGGATGTCGTTCAGCGGCGGCCGGCGCTGAGTCGGTGGAGGAAGGAGTACAAGGAGGAATTCGAGGCGGGGGTGAGGTCTTGAGTGCGGCGAGTACGAGGGTAACTAGGGCTGTTTCAGATTCAAGTGGTCATTGAAGAGATAAATGATCGGGGATTTAGATTCGTTGACTGGATTCCCAACTGAAACGTGCTTGAGTTCGTTTCTTGGGCAAAAAATGAATATACACACGCACACAACATGGACGTTTATGAAATGAGTAGGAGAGTCGACTATCACAAAGGCTCGGCTCTTTTGCCAGTAATTCTAAGCTGAGCTACACTATGTCTATGTTTAATGGGCGGCAGAGACCTGCCATGCAAGCGTCTCTATAGTCGTTCCAAACCCTTGATTCTTGCCGATATTCGGATTTAGACGCCCTCACACGACGGATGGTGTCCAAAGGGCCATCACGAGATTTGCTGACACAGTAGGCAGGCCCCAAGAATCGTGCTGTTCGAACGTGGCTCAGAGGATAGGGAAACTCTGAATCGTCTGGCCGATCTCTGTATGCTCTCTGAGAGTTGCTGACCACTGCTGCAATCTTGTCTAATGGTAATGGCAGCTTGTCTTGGGAAGTATCTGAAACCTTGTGCACTAGCTTGGGCGACATCGGCCGCAAGAATATCGATACCTCGACCAGATGTCTTTCAGTATACATGGATAACGCGCCGTCTTCAAAGTCAGGCCCTACGATTGAAGAATCGTGCATGCTGAAATTTTGCGGCTTCATTTCGTCCAAAGGGATCAAGATATCGTCAAATTTCATGTCGTGAGGCGCCAAACCATACTCTTGTTCCAAGCTAGGATGATCGTACTCAACGTGACTATACACAATGTACGGCAAAGGATGAAGCACAACCAAAGCGAACCTTTGAAGGATGTTACCGATTAATATGAGTAGCAGTGTCTGCTCCCCGGCAAGGGACTCTGTCTTCTCGAAGCCAGTCCTGAATGATTGGTACAGTTTTTCCATGAGCGTTGTCAAAGACCAACGACTTAGGTGGCCTTTGTCCTCTGACACAACGTCCTTACCCCTTAGGATGATTGCAAATAATGTCGTGACCCTAAGCCAACGCTTTAGTCCCATACATTCATCATTGATAGGCTCGAGACATGAAAGTACATGTTTCCATAACTTTTCCTTCTCGACTACTACTTCTCGCGGTAGCGTTAGGATCAGTCGGGCACTCCGCCCATAGAGGCCGCCACGAATTGGTGACCACCTGACCCGTAGTTTCCTTTGCCCAGCAGAAAATCTCGTTGGGATTGAGACCCAAAGGATATGAGTTCGAAGGGCCGATTGGCATTTAATATGTCTTGTTGTGCCCCTCGGAACCAGGACATCTCCTTCTCTCTGCTAGACAAGCTGTCATCCAGGTGGGGGTCTGAAGAAGGGCCTTCAGTTTCCAGGCCACCAACCTCATTGGAAATTTCAATCCAAGGCTTGTCGGCGCGGTCTGTTGAGTGCTGGCGATCTAAATTGGACTCGCCTGACGCCAGCCCCAGCTGCCGAACCCCAGACCAGTCAGGGACCCAAGACGGATACTCGGCGTCGTCGAGGCTCTGTCCAGCAACCGGCCCAAAAGCGAAAAGGTGTAGAATGACCCGGCTTGCCGAGAGAGCGCCTTCATTGATCAATTTCTCAGCCAGCCGGCGATATATTTCGTTCCAGCTAATTTGGCTGTACAGCAGATCAATCGGTTGTTTGCTTTGGGGTAGAAAGCCGTACAAAGCTGCAAGACGATCTCGCGGGTCTGAGCACTTGGCCATGTGAAATCCCCAGAGCAGTTCCAAGAGGTCTTCTGTCACATCATGCTTCAGCAAAAGTCGCAGATCTCCGAGGCTGTCCCGAGATAACATGCGACTCTCCACTGAGTACCAAGCTGCTCGGAAGCGTGCATACTCAAGAGAGTGCTCTCCGTAATGCAAGACGGCTCGATCTGCAAGCTTCACTTCTTGGATAACCCATCTTCGAGTGAACCATGGCTTTTGCGTCAGCATCGCCAAGCTTTTGCAAAGATCCGTCTTGTAGGGCTCGGTCGCCGGGATGGCATGAACCATGCGTATGTTGGAGAATGCCACTGCGACCTCATCGGCATCGATGTCGCCAAGCCAGACGTGCACTGTCTCGGCGCACCTATAGATCTCTCCCATCTGTGGAATCTGCACCGCCTTATCATTCTCATCCTGTTGGTCGATGCACAGGCGTCAATCCAGAGGTACAGCGACTTGTGAGGATCGCGCAGGTATCGCAGGATGCTGTCGACGGTCGGTGTGATTCTCAGCAGCGACTGCTTGGGCGTGATGATATCCTCACGAACACTGCTTTGATCAATGATGAGGTCGACAGAGAAATCGGGCAGACCCCAGGTGTACGATACGGCAGAATAGTTCCGGGACGTGTCTGTGCCGCGAAGCTGCTCCTGCCGACTGTATTGGATCATCGAACATCGCAGTTGAGATCTGAATGAGGCTGCGGGCTGGAGGACAAGCACGCGGGTCGAGTCTGGGTGTTTCAGCGGTTCGTAGCGGTACGACGGCAGGCTCTGTGGCCTCTGACCCAGTGTCAGTTCCATGTGACTGCAAGACTCGAACTGATGCTGCAAATGTGGAAAGAGCACATGAAAGGACAATAAGCTGGGCGTGGAGCGGGGAAGAGGGAGGAGGAAGGTACAACTATCTTGAATGATTTCTTGCGGTGCTGAGGCATGGTTGGTGAACCAGTCGCCATGCAGGTCGCAATCAGGCAGAAATGCATATTCCCAACATCCTCCTCGAGGCGCCTATGTAGGTATCAAGTTTGTTTGTGCATACCTTAGCCAGCTAGCTTGTCTATATGTTTGTCTTTACACCCTAGTCGAACTATAAAACATCTATGGGCAACTTCACCGTCCAAAACGGTCAACGTTTAGTTGTATCATGTTTCATTCTTTCCGTTTCAAAGAGCGATGCCCACTACTTTAACTAAGTCAAGTCACTATGAGAGGGGTCTTCTCTTCTCTAGCTAGATGATTCCAATTACAACCACCAATCTGCCATCTAGACCTTCCCCTTCTTCACAACCGTCTCAAAACACCCATGATAAACCCACTTCCACCCCCCAAGCTATCACATACGACCATACCCATTGGAAAACTCGGGATCCCGTCCGCTCTCCCATAGACAAGCCAATGAGGGCCGGATTAGTAGTTGGGTCGGTGACGACCAGCGAATACCTGGTGTTGTATGTCTTTTGTCATTTCTGCCTTCCCTCTGCCTTCACTTTTGCTCTCAAAATCCCACGAGATCCACTGCGCATGTTAGTTTTTTATGGTTGTCGGTTTCGACGAATCAAAAGTAAGCGCCAGTCTGTGTTTGGTTATTGGTCGGGGGAAACTTGCGACCCCTAGGATGGCCGGCCATGGCCCATGACATTGCACGTGCAAAAAGGCTGACTGACATGCACAAGCAGGGAATAAGAATGACTTGCTCCCCCAAAGTCTAAATTCCACGCTTTTCCCCTTGGGCCTTGCGTCATGAACGGTGGTGGTCCCACACTCCAATGGCAATATGACCTTGACTCAATCCTGTTTGATCACTTACACAGACATGACGATAGTACTCCGTAGTCGGGACATCTTTTGAGATCATGCGTCACATACAGTCCATCATATGTACGACACGCAGAATGCAACATATTGGACAGCACAAAGGTTGGTATGATTGATGCAGTATATGCCTGTGTACATGTATATTTTCCACGACCCTTTTTTGCCGGGTAGTGGAAGACTCTCCTTGCGACTCCTACTTTTTGGGGGATGGTGGTAGTGTTCTTCGTACAATCGGAGCGGGAACAGGAATTTGGGTGGGAGGCTAACACCACCACACACAAACCTGCATCTGAAAAAATAGAGAGAGTAAATGTGCGCGTCAATTCGATGCGGGTGTTGTGTGGTCCAAAGGTATCATGACGCTCGCGGCCGGGACAAACCACGTAAACAAAACAAAGTGAAAAAAAGAATCCTTCCCCTCCCGTTGTCCCCTTGGATGAAAAACAAACCAGTATCCCGTCTATTCCAAAATGCCAAACTCCAAGATTCGCCAGGTTTGGAGGGGCTTCTCATCCTTGGCTGGTGAGGTCCCCCAAACTCCACATTATGACGGCTTGCCTTGTTCCGCCGTCCTCAACTCCGTTTGACCAGGCTTCCCTCTGATGCTTTCTTCAGGGGTATGGTACCGTTTCGTCCTGCCCAGCAAGATTTCAAATTTTTAAACATCATTGCGCGCTCTGAGACCTCGACCGGTTGCCGCGTCGATTGCTGGATCGCGGAGTGCTGTTCCCCTCACGCCCCGCGCCGGCCCTTACCGCATCGGTGTAGCTGGGTATCGGTGGGTGCGATGGTCCGGCCGCAGCAGCTGCCGAGGCGCCTCGACTCCGATTAAGAACGCGGATCAACGGAGTGTTTTCGCTGTCTGTGCTGTTCCGACGGCTGCCGGCCTCCGAGTGGTCGGGGCTCGTATACTCGGGTGGCGGGTTCAAGGCGTCTTGAAGCCCAAGCCCTACGACGCTTTGCCCTTCGTGCCCGCGATTGATGCTGCTGCTTGGCTCGCCGCCCTCATCGTCGGACACAAAGTGCGTCAGGGAGATGTCAGTCGGGCTTCTTACGGGACCGGGGCTCCTCGGTGGAAGTACTCTGAAGTTTCCGCTTCTCGTCCGCCCATGTTGAGGTCCCAAGCCACTTTGCGAGTAGGACTGCGACTGAGAGTGCCCCCGCTGCTGCTGTCCGCCGCCGCCACTGGCGCTCGTGTACCCATCCTTGCGTCCAGCCTCGAGCAGGATATCGCCCTGTTCGGAGCCATACGGTGGTGGCGGTGCCAGGCTGCCCGTCATCGGGGCAAGGCCCCATTTCTTCACGTTGGCCTCGATGAAGACGAAGCCGGCCTGGCCAAAATTGACGTGGACGATGCAGGGCCCGTTAGCCCCGATGGCAGGGAAGAAATTTTGCGACTTTACACCGTGAACGGCATCTTCCAGCTTCTTACCATTGCGGGTGAAGAAAATGGTGCCCGTCCGGGGACGATAACCAACGCCGATAACATCGCCCTGAACGAACTGAGGTCCGTAAGGGGTTGCGGCAAATGGCTGGTTGCAACGGCGCTGGCCTGCTGAGAGGTATGCTACGGAATGTTTGTGGAAGCCTGGATGGTTAGCGTCATGCGGTTGCAGCGAGGGGCTGGAATGTCACATACCTGGTAGTCTGAACAACGGGTACGGTTTGGTAGCCATGCCGATGCTGAGGAGGGTATTTTCGGGCTTATCGTAGATCTTGGCTTCCCAGTAGTAGACCTCGTTCTGCTTGGGCACGGGCAGATTGCTCATGACGGTGCATTCGGAGTCGAAGAACTCAATCTCGGTGCGGCCTTCGACGAAACAGTTTGCGATTTCCAACTCGGGTTCAAACTCCCAGGCGGAAACACCCTTTTCTTGGATGGCGAGATATTGCGATAGAGAAATGTCGGTTTGGACGGATTCGGGGGGGTTCGCTTGGATGAATGCTACGACGGGGTTTGGTTAGTCGTGTGCGGATATCGCGGTAAGGACAATACGAAGGCTGCCTACCTTTTGCCCTGAGGTACTCGGTCCTCTGCATATCGTCCATAGACTCGAGAGCCTCGGCCTCCTCCCGGGCAAAAGCCTGCTCGTCGTCATACTCGCCTGGTCGGCCGATGCGATCGAGAAAGATGCGGCCACTGGCCGTGTATCTGAAGAAGTAGATGACGAGGAAAATGAGAGCGATAAGGATGGCGGAGCCAAAGGATGAAAGTAATCCGATGACAACGCCGTTCAGCGCCGATGATGGAGCTGATGGTGCCATTGTGGGCAGGCGGCGACGTTTGTCGATGCAATCCGGTCAATCGGTCGGCTGTCGTTCGTGGGGTGGTGGTGGACTCGTGAGAAGAGAGGTGGTGAGGTAGGATCGGTCGGTCGAGAGGAGGGACGGCTGGCGTCACCGCCGCGAAAGCAGCATTCGCGGGCGAATCGACACTCGTGAAGCAAGCGATGAGAAGGAGAAGGAGGACAGGCGAAATAAACTGGACACGGCAAATGAATAAAGGAAGGTCGTCGTCGACGGACGGACGGTGCGAAGAGAGAGAGAGGGAGAGAGAGGTTGGCTGGGATTGAATGAAATGCGAAAGAATTGGTTGTTGGTTTGGGACAAGTTGGGTTGGCGCGGGCGGGCGGCGTAGGCGTGAGCGTAAGGTGAGGGTACGGTAGGTAGGCGTACGGGGTGCTGTGGGTAGGCACGCAGGTAAGGCACGGTAGCGTCGGTCGGCAAGGTCAGACGAGCGTTGTCGTCGTCTTTGGAGTGAGGTACCTGGAGGTGAGGTACTTCGGTGGTTGGCGGTTGTGCTGTGCTGTGCACCGCTACGACGGTGGAAGAGCAGCGAGCAGGGCGAGTGGTTGCGTTGCCACAGTTCTCCGACTGAACCAAGTCGCAGGTCGATGGGGCATGGGCTGCTCTTGTTTGTGGCGGGTCCCCTCTCTCTCACTCTTGCTGTCACTCTCAGGCGCTCAGCTGGGCGTGCGGCGCAGGCACCTTGGGGAAAGGTACTTTAATGTCGGTAAGCACGTAGGTAACCTAAGGTAAGGTTATGTAGGCGGCAGCGGCGCAAAGGGAGTCGGTCGGGTTCTCTGCTGCCCCGGGCTACCCAAGGGCGATGGATGACTACCGTAACTAGCCACCTTTTACTATCGAAAAGCAAGGTACTTTAGTTAAGGTAAGGCAAGGTAGATAGATAGGCCCCGTTCACGTAAGGGGGAATGGACCGGGGGATCAAGTATCCGAACGATACCTTTGAAAGCCTAGAGGCAGCGTAAGGTAGGGAGAGGTCAAATGGGAGAGAGAAATTCAGAGTTGGGATGGAAAAAGAGGGGGACGAGGAAAAAAAGAATAAAAATAAAAGCAAGGTGTGAGCAAAGGGCTGCGCAGAGACGCAATCCGGTGGTTTGGTACCAAGTATGGATAATGCGTACGTATATCCCTCGTTGCGTGTGGTTGTGGTGGTGGTGGTGGTGGTGGTGTCTCGAGGTAAGTTTCTTTCTGAGAAAGAAGGTTAGGTTCAAGCTGGACCGTGGACAGCCAGGTCTAAAAGGCAATAACAAATCAAGCGAGGGCTTGGGCGTTTGCCGATTCCCGTCAATCAATCTGTCAAGAGTTGGCTTGTATCTAACGTCAAGTGAGGAGAAAAGAAGAAGAAGAGAAGGATGGAACACCGCCGAGATGTCTACATCTACATCCAAGGTACGGTGTACGTACCAACAGCAACAGGCCAGGACTGCCTGCTCCGGGAAGAGGTCACTCACAACTGACACCGCCCGGGACTGCAGGATGAGAAAGACGGGGCCACTGGGAAGTACCAGTCAGGGAAAAAAAAAAAAAAAAAAAAAAAAAAAGGTGCATTCGTATGTACACTACGGGAGACGACGGCACAAGACGCAGCTGGACAAGGTACAAGCGGGTCAGGGGCTACAGTACGCGGGCCATGTCCGGATCTTGTTAGAGACATGCGGCCGTCTTCGGTGTCTTGGAGTCTTGGAGTGCTAACAGGTGGCGGGGACAAGATGCGTACTGCGGAGTCGCTGCTCTCAGTCGTACTTACTGAGAGGCTAGGTGTGGGTAGGTAGATGACGCTGACTGACGGGTCCCAGCTCCATTCCCCGTCCAGCATCTCCCATCTATCCGCGCCATCTCACACGCATCTCTCCCATCTCGGTCTCCTCCCATCTTGAAATCTTGCCATCTTGGGTACCTGGTCGTCCTATGACTCCACCCGCCAACTATCATGTACTCCGTACCTGCGCCGCAAAAGTGGGCTAACAACCAACCTTGGAAGTCTGTCGCTCACTTACTCATTCAATCAAGGTATCCATAACCTTCTATTCCAGAATCCAAGGTTCTTCAGGAACGGATACCATCATTCGTTCATTTCGGACAACGCACGTGCTCTGGGCGGGCGGAGGTTGGGAGGATCAATCGAAAGACGCACAATACCCCCGAGGGGCCCGATGAATCTGCAGCAATCGTCCGTCCGGCAGCTCTGGAACCGCCCACCGGAGGAGACTGACGGGTGCCCACCGACCATGCCCGCATGGCCTCCTCTTCACCGCGCCCTCCTCACCGCGAATTTGCTTGGAGGATGGAGGATGCAGCCAAGCGTGCGGAGGTTGTGGGAGGCTGGCAAAACATCAGCCAACCACTGCATGACTGGGCGCCTTTGCCTACCTTACTCCGTACTCCAGAGTACATATGCAGTCTCACGCAGGCCAAATACTGGCCCACGACTTGCTTTCTTCTTCCTGCTCGACAAGTCTGCGGGGGTTTGTGCAACCTGGATTGACTACTGATGATATTCCCGGGGGTCACAACATCTACAAAACACTACGGAATAGACCTTGACGAACTCTCCCTCTCCCTTGCTTGTCAGCTAAAGCCGTCCGGGACCGTCCACTCAACATCCAAGTTCCAATGCCCTCGGCAAGGCCCCTTGTCGAGCATCATACCTATCTGCCATTGTTTCCGCTATCAGCTTACTTACTCGCAAGACGCGACAATGGAGAACAACGATGGACAGACATAGCGACAGAACAAGGCATGCATTAACCACCCGTCCGGGCGGTTAAGCCTAAGCCATGCTAGGTCAAGGACCAAACCCACCCGCCAACCCGCCAACCCGCCAACCTTAGCCCAAAAGCCCAAGGACCAAACGAGTGAGAGTTCCTCCAGAGAAGGGCAAGGGGGGGCCACTGGAATGGCAGGGTGGCTGGGCAGGCCTGGCGCAGCCCGCTAGTTTCAACTCACAACAGAGATTCGCATTGCGGTTTCATGCTCTGGCCGTTCTTTGTACCACCAAAAAAAGACGGGAGTGCCCCCTTTCGTCTCGAAGCCGCCGGCCGTGCTCGGCCGCAATTCCTCCCTGCCCCGTACCTACAGCGTAAAGCCTCCAAGTCTAGAAGATAGTAGGCAGGCGAGCAAAGGGAATTTGCGTGTCTCATTATTTACTCGACTAACCAACTACCGCGGTTCAATAATGGCAATCTCTTTGTCTGCGTTCGGGACCAAGTGGTGAACAACGGTGGCCCTGACGCAAAACTCATTCTCCCAGGGGCTAGCATTTCTCCAATGGCCGCGACCGTCGTCCAGGACTCCAGCGATACGACCCTCCCCCCGTCCCGTCACTGTAACGCGCAGGCCATCATCATGCGCCGTATTTCCCCTTTTGCATACGACTTCTTCATGCTGCTACCGATCATCCATGCCCCTTCCCTTCCACATTCCTCTCAATTGCCCAGAGACGGTTGCGACGACGGTAGCGACGGCTGCCCACGCACCAAACACCCCAAGCTTTTAGGTAATCCGTCCGCACTTCGTATCTCTCGGCATCCGGCATCGTCAAAATCTGTGTAGGGTACTATACGTTCCAGCGTTCCCCCCTTCCTGTCCGTGATCGGGTCCGAGACCTCCGTGATGAAGAGCTTCAGGAACGGGGAGGGCAAGATGGCTCCTTAAAAAGAAATCCTGCTCACGGCCCGCCGCCAGACTATTGTCAGTGCCCCATCGCATTCCACCATTGACGGACACCGGTACCTGTCAAGCTCATGTCAGAAATTCCTCCAAACGGCGCCGCACCCGGTCGCCTCCTCCTCCTTGCCCCGTCTTCGCTGGGCTGGCGGCGCGCACAGTCGCTAATCGGGGGCACGGGGGGCGTCGGTGTCGGTGGGAGTGGATTGCGTGGTTACGTGGTTGCCCGCTACCTTGTGCTGCGAGCGATGCTACCTTACTCAGCACGTCAACCTGAGTTTTGGCACATTCCAACTTCGTTACCCCCGTGCCCCCCCCGCCCGTAGGGCCGGGTAGGCCCACTCTGCCTTTTTTTACTCCACTTTGCTCCGGTGCGGGAGATCGGCCGGACGGGAGACATGGAACTCGTGGTCCACTTTTTATCTACCTCCGAATTCACTTCCTCGCGCCGCCCCCGGGAAAGTTTCTTCATCGTCCGAAACTGAACAACCACGACGGTGAATGAGTGTGTTCTGCAACAACTGCAATAGCACGTAATGGGGGTCGCATCCCAATTTTACCATGACGATCGACCTCTTTTAATCTGTCACTGTTGCTTGTTTGTTCTGGGATTCGACATCAAAGCCGTAGATTTTCTGGCGGTAAAGTTTTACCATGACCCCCTGTTAGTACCGAGACCAACGACCACTCACCACGGTCCCGTCTTGTTTGCTTCCACATTGTGTGAATCATCCACGTTGAAGTTCCCAAACGCATTTCGCATTCCTCGTGATTTCACTCCGTAGAGTCACTATAAAATATGAGTGTGATTGAGGCGAACCATTCTAGACGAAAGATCAAACCACAATCGCCTTGACCCAAGGACGGTTCGTGAGTCTGTGGCAGCAACTTATCTCCTGTCTATGAGACTCATCCCAAACTCACCTCCGATGTACTGCACTGCAGTGAAGCTATTTCCGATACAAAGTGATCCACTAACCCGCCCATCCTTCCTTTCTATCCCATCTCCGATACACATTCACCACAGTAACCCACGCCGCCAGCGCCGCAAGGTCCCCAGTAGAAATACCCCCCATCTCCGGTATCTCTTTCCATAACCCATAATAGAGTTCCTCTCATCCCTCTAATTCCTTCCCATTCTCGCAAGCAGGCCAGTCAGTCAGTCACCAGTTGCCTGCCCAGTTTTCCTTTCTTGCTCTCCCCTTGCACACCATTCATGCCACTCACAATGGAACACAACAACAATCGCGAGGACAAGAAGTCCTTCAAGGGAAAGAAGCCCAACCGCAGACCAAGGGATAAACGGTCCACCTGCCGCCACTTCCTCGAGGGCCGCTGCACCTATGGCAGAGAAAACTGCAACTTCCCCCACAGAGACGAGGAGCTGCGGCCCGAGATGGTCGCGGCCGCGGCCCAGCAGGAGGAGGAAGTCGCGCTGGCGGAGGCAAGATATGATAATGCCGTCTACAGCAGCAATGTGACGTACAATGGCCTGTACGTCAACGGCCACTACGTCAACCACGGCCACTACGCCAACCACGGCGCGCACAACCACCATCAGCAGCACCAGCAAGCGCTGCCGCCGCCTCAGTGGATGGGATATCGCATCGCCAATCCCATGCCCAATACCCTGGGCCGGCCGACGTTCGACGGCACGCAGGAGGAGGCGACGTCGTACTTTGGCTCGCCGCTGCCGCCGTACGCTGGGCCCTCGAGCTACGCCGGACCCTCGCACCCGGTCCACCCGCCGCTGGGATACGGTGCCCCGGGACCCTACTACGCCCCACCGCACCAAGTCGTCCACGGAGGAGGACACGGCTACGGCTACGGCTACGTCGGACCCTCCTTCCCGCCCCCAGGCCTGCCCTTGCCCTTGCCCGGACAGCCGCCCGATCCCTTCGGCACGAACTGGCAACCCACCCACCGCCACCACCACCACCATCACCAGCCCGGACCCTTCGGCCCGCCTCCTGGCTTCGGTCCGGGTCCGTCAAACGCCCCCGCGCCCCCTCCGGGCTTCGAATCCGGACCGGGGGAGTACTCCATTCCCCCCTCCCCATCCCCTTCCCCTGGGCTTGAGCTCGCCCCTGCCGAGGACTCCTTCTCGCCGGCACCCGAGGAAGCCCCGGTGCCCAGTACCGCTCCTGCCGAGGTAGTCGCAGGAGCCCAGGACCCTAGTACCATACAATGCTGGTACGGTCTTGGCTGTAAGAGGCCGGGATGCCATTTCCGGCACGATGGCCCCGATGGGGGCGTCGTCAATGGGGAGGCTAGCGGCAGCGGCAGCGGGGACGACGTGAGCATGAGCGAGTCATCGGGCTCGCCCCCGCCCCGGAGCGAACAGTCCTCCGGAGCGGCCACACCTCAGTCGTCGCCACGGCAGCTACCTAATTCCGTTGCCGGCGATAGCAACCCTCCCTCCGTCGCCGGGGACGTCACCCCGCCTTCTGTTGCCGGTGATATCACCCCGTCTTCCTCCGACCATACCTCTGAGGAATACCCTGCGGAGGAGGGGGAGGAGGATGAGGAGGTGGTGGGTACAGAAAAGGAGACTCCCAAGGCGGAGTACCCCGAGGAGACTCCGCAATATGAGGAAGGAGAGCAGCTCTCCACCGCGGAGGAAACTCCAGAGGAGCTGCTCTCTGAGGAGCACTCCTCTCAAGAGGAGACAGTAGAGACTCTGACCTCCTCAGAGGAGAAGAAGGAAGAGGAGCAGGAGAACCCTACTGCTGCTGCTGCTGCCCAGCAGCCCGCCGCCAGACGCCCAGGGCCCTTGGTCATTGACGGACGAAGCGTGTATGGCTTGGGCTTGATGAAGGCTCAGGGCAAGCAGGAGTCTGTCTGAACTCCGCTTCCTCTCCTCTCTCCCGCCGGGTACAAAACTTGATGGTACTTGGAGTGGGAGCCCGATGAGCAATGAACATCGACCATGACCACGACAGACTTGATCAGGCGCATGGGAAGCAATCGATGACGTAAGACACGAAGTAGAGGCGTCATTGTTGAGATTGCTTTGAGCCTGGGAGCACGATAGGGCCTGATGGAACCTCACATTCTCTGGAACCTGTGCCGATATCAATATGATAGACAGACGAAGAGAAAAGAAAAAAGCAGTGGAAAAAGCCACAAAAAAAAAAAGTACGTGAGTAAGGCAGAAAAAAAGGCTAACGACAAACGGCGAGGAAAGGGTCATATTGATCTGGCCTCCAACAACACACGACCTCACGCCAGCCTGGCGACGAAGGCCGGCCATCTAACTCACGTCTAATGAGAAAATGGGTAAGACAGCCGGCCATCGTCTGGCGGTCGGTCGTGGACGGGGAAAAGAGAGGTCCCAACACAAGGACTTCGAAAACGACGACAATGATGAGCCTTCCTCTATGGCTTAACATCTTCGAGCGCATACCATAGAGGAAGGCCGATAAAAATGAAATGAGACGAGGCTCTCATGTAAAAGGGGTGTATAACTTTTGGGCGTCCCACAAGAGGGTTAAGTTATCCTGAGCGACCATCACCATTGTGCCGGCCAAAGGAACTCAAGACCTTACCCCGGGGCGACGACTTTCATAGATTGACTTGAAAAATTACGACAAATCGGCTTACGGTTGCATCCACGGCGTAAGTTGGTCACGATAGAAATAGGTAGAGCACAAAATTGATGTTTACGCTGAACTAAGAAAAAAAAGATATGCATTGATGTGACTCCCGATGTCAACGCTCTACACCCGACTCCATGCGCAAAGGGACGTCCTTGGAGCGTCCACTGGGTAATCTGTATTTTACAACGATCCTCATATCATTCGACCCTTCAAGCCCCGCCCCTCCCTCTCACAGCGCCAGTAACGGCTGCTGCTCCTCCGCTCGCCGCTGGTCTCCCCCGTGCGTTTCTCTCTCAGCTTCGTTCTCACCCTCTGTATCGTTGCGTCCTGAAGTCTCATTTGTCTCGTCATTATCCTGGGTTTCCATGTTGTTTTCAGCGTTAGCCGCAGCCTCAGCCGCAGCGGCAGCGGCAGCCTCCGCTTCTTCCCTTCTCTGACGCTCAGCGCGGGCTTCGGCTTCAAGATGAGCAATATGGCGCTCCGCAACACCTGGTGCAATACTAGCCAGGAAGAGAAGGCCAGCTCTCTCGAGCCGCCGCACTTGATCCATCAACCAGTTCGCATTATCGTGTCTGCGCTGAGCTACCAGCCTGGCAGCTGCTCGTGTTGGATCAGGTTGACCATCGCGTCCAACCACGGCCTGGTCGTCTCGGGGACGGACAGGCTCATTGACGTTATTCGGCGCAGCTAGGGGTAGCAAATTCTCCATATGACGTCTGACTGGTCCCACAGCCTGGTCAAAGTAATTGTTTAGAAGTCCAGTGTTCAGAACAAAGATGCTGATCGCGATTGAAATCACAGTGATCCACCTAGACCAGCCTGCATTGGGCGAAGTAAACCACCACACAAAGAGGGCAAGCCTAACCACCAGCCAAAAGTGCGGCCACACTTGCGCAATCAGCGGAGCGATACCTGGGTTGTTGGGGTGGGCAGGCACTGCTGCTGCGGCAGGCTGTCCCTGAGGCTGATGCATGGGCGGTTGCGCCTCAGGCTGGTGCTGTTGCACCTGGGGTTGAGGTTCTGCTTGGTGTGTTGGTTGCTGTTCTTCGTGATGGGGTGGTGGAGTCACAAATGCTCCTGGCCAGGCGACATGTTGAGGGCGACCTCGCATTCTCGCGAGCGCAGAGGCGGTTTGGTGGAGAGTTGAGGTTGTGTGAGGCTGCCCTCTCGGAGTGTAGTACGAGTCCGTGGCGTTGTTGATCAGTAGAGCACGAGGGCCTTGAGGCGAAGACAAAATGTACACTTCAGGACCGGACGGTGCTTGCTGTTGAGCGTTCGTAGAATGTCTGCTGCCGCCGCTGACTGAGCGAGCGGTAGGGTCAGGGGTAGGCCGTCTACTGCTGGCTCTGGATCCAGGGGTTGGGTAGTAAGGAGTAGTGACGCCAACAGAAGAGCCTCCATTGGCAAGGGATGTGCTCGAAGCGCTTCTCTGCATCGCGTTGGTCATGGCCAATGTTGCTTGGTTGCTGTCAGCTGCCCTCAAGATGGTCTGAACGTCAGCAGTGGACAGAGGGGTCGAGGTGCCTTGACTGCCAGGCTGCTGGACATTCAACTGGCCACCGAGGAAAGTCTCGTTGACCGTCACGCGATATGTCTGTCCGTTCGGCATGAGGCCCTCTCGCACATACGTGTGCCCGTCAGGATTGCTAAGCGGGCTGGCCCGTCCACGAGTGGGGTCCGCAGCATTGGGAACGGCCGCCGGTGTGTCGCCAACGCCGTGCATGCCCATGGATGCTCTCATAGCCTGATTCTGATTGATCTGCTGGTGAGCCATGGCCCTGTTCATGGCTTCGCGTTGAAGTCCGTTCATCCATGCCGTCATGCTCTGGTGCTGTTGCGCCTGCAGTTGCTGGAGCTGCTGCAGAGTCAAGTTCGCCGGTATTTGAGGTGGTGCCGGGAATGGCATAGGGTTCGACGTCGGATGGAGAGGTGTTCGTCTGGTGAAGGCCGCAGCCGTAGGCTGACTGCCATGGTGATGGACGTGTTGAGGCTGGCCGGTGGTGCCAAAAGGGCTTGGGAAATGAGCAGTGGGCGGCGCTGGGCTCGACCCTCGAGCAAGTGCCGGTGTCGGAGTCGTGGAACGGTGCGGTTCTGCAACGTCTCGAAGCACGAGGTGAATCGTCTGCTGATCGGTAGTGCGGATCTGTCCCCAAGTCAGTCAACGATGATGTGCAATTGTCAGCAGAGCAGGGGAACTCACGACTTCTTCACCGAGGACAGTCAGGAGAGTGTCCCCATCCTGCGCCAAAGGTCGGCCCCGGTAGATCAATCGCTGCTGGGCATCGGTCGGCTTGAGAGGAAGCGCTTGTCGGATTTTCTCCTTGAGCTGTCGAACCGTCGTGGTGGCGGCGAGACCAGGGAAAACCAAGGGTCGGCTAGACGTGGCAGCGGTGGATGGCGACAAGACCTGCAGGTTTACGGACAGGTGTTCAGAAGTAGCCTCTGGCGCAGAGGGCGCGGTGGAAGACGAGGCTTCAGAAGCCATGATGAGGCCTATCGGTCATGCCACGCAGAGCGCGACGCGGCAGCTTCGTCTGATCGTCCACGGGAAAGGAGTGGTGGTGTATGCGCAAGGAGACGATGCTCATGTCACCGTGTCGTTCGCAGACGGGGAAATTTAGGACATGTGTTGCTCTCCGACTGCAGACTCTCCAGCTCAGGTACGGACCCGCTGGCCTCACTAAAAACGTGGGTACGTAGTCCGTCCCTGGGACCCGGAAGGCCCGATCCATGCACGTTGTCCCAATCGGGCGGGTGGTGACAGCCCGATTATGTAAGCCGGAAGATGGGATGCATCTGATCCTCAGTCACATTGAGGGAAGGGAGGTATGCATTACCTGGAACTTACCTACCGGTGTTCATTTTTGGTAGTCTTACCTACCTGTTACTCTGATTTCTATGTGATTGACATGTTTTCCTATGAAGATGTGTATGTGAAAACGAGCAGTGTCACTAACAGTGGAGAAAGTGATGCATCAAAAGGGTCAGCAAGGCCACGGTCACAGAGACGCAAGAGTTTCAATAAATCTCATTCCTATGCCCAAGTGACTAACCCAGGGTAGGCAAATATGATGAGGAAGTCGGGGAGTTGAGTCTCTCGAGCTTCAGACGCACAAGGAACAATCGAGACCTGTCAGAGATGGACAACTTCAGTGATTCTTCTTCTAAGAGGCTGGTGGCTTACGAGTTCGAGGTAAATGCAGCCTTGATGACTCTATCCCCCTATTGCTTCGGAACAATCCTCTCAACACAGCCGGGCCTTGAAAAGGTGAAATGACGCTTCTCGGCTTCCAGCATTTTTTTTATGCTCAAAGTTCAAATGCATCATTCAGAGGACGTTGCTGCTAGTTTCCCAAACGAGACTAGCGCAACTGGATGGTTCGTGCTGCGTCATCCCAAAGCTGCTGCCGAGCTGCAAGATCTTATCGCAAGACGCCTGCTCATCCAAACTGTCATCGTCTGGCCCATTTGCTCGTCCCCGCAAACCCAGCCAAAAGCCCTGTGGCCCCAAACAATCGCAAATTTCCTCGATTGAGGTCCCAGTCGCATCATGGCTACACTGTACGCTCGTCAGAGCCAGCTACGGGCCACCAACCTCTTCTCTCTCCACGGCCCCTGCGCCTCGACCCGATTCTTCTCCCAGCAGCAGCAGCGCCCTCGCTTCTCCTCCCGCCTGCGGCACGCCCTCAACAACAGCAAAGTGCAGTGGTACCAGATCCCCGTCGGCCTTGGCATTGGCTTCCTGGGCCTGGTTCAGTTCTACAAGGTCTCGACGCGCGAGCGCGAGAAGCAGGAGAGGGACGACGTCCAGGATGGCGCGCCGCCCAAGAAGCGCGCAAAAATCAGGCCCGACGGACCATGGCAGGTCCAGGTCATGTCGACGCTGCCCTTGAAGGCGATTTCGAGGCTCTGGGGTCGCTTCAACGAATTGACTATCCCCTATTACCTTCGTGTTCCCGGTTTCAAGCTCTACTCATGGATCTTTGGCGTCAAGTAAAGTCTCTCGAAGAGTCCGAGTCTGGCGTCATTACATGCTAACCTACCTTGACAGCTTGAACGAAGTCGCCGAACCCGATTTGCGAACATACCCGAACCTTGCCTCATTCTTCTACCGCCAACTTAAGCCCGGTTCCCGTCCCCTCCACCCAGACTCCAACGCCCTGCTCTCCCCCTCTGATGGTCGCGTCTTGCAATACGGCCAGATTGAAGGCGGAGATATCGAGCAGGTCAAGGGCATGACCTACAGCATCGACGCACTCCTCGGCAAGAACACTCCCACATCAAGTATCGCAAGCGGATGGTCCACGCCTCAGGAAGCCGAGGCGGACAAGGCCAACATCTCCCCCAACGAGGACCTCGTAAAGACGGATGAGGAATTCGCACGCGTCAATGGCATCTCCTACACTGTGCCCAGCCTCCTTTCGGGCGCCGCCATGTCGGTGCGCAGGGGTTCCCTCAAAGACGAGTCCGTCGAACCACCCTCGCCTTCTGCCGTCTCCGAGGTTCGCGCCGACCTCGCCCTCGGCGAGAAGCCCTGGTACGACCTGATCTCGCCGGACAACAAGACGTCGCTGTACTACGCCGTCATCTACCTCGCCCCTGGAGACTACCACCGCTTCCACTCGCCCGCCAACTGGGTCGTCGAACGCCGCCGTCACTTTGCCGGCGAGCTCTATAGCGTCTCCCCTTACCTTCAGCGCACGCTGCCCGGTCTCTTCACCCTCAACGAGCGCGTCGTTCTTCTCGGCCGCTGGCGCTACGGATTCTTCAGCTACGTCCCCGTCGGTGCCACCAACGTGGGATCCATCAAGATTAACTTTGATCGTGAGCTGCGCACCAACAGCTTGACCACGGATACGGCGGCCGATCGTGCTGCGGAGGAGGCTGCAGCCCGCGGTGAGCCCTACACGGGCTTCGCCGAGGCGACGTATGCCTCGGCCAGTCCTGTGCTCGGTGGCCATGCACTGCGGAGAGGTGAGGAGATGGGTGGTTTCCAGCTGGGTAGCACCATTGTGCTGGTTTTTGAGGCGCCGACCGAGGGCAAGACGCCGGATGACAAGTCTGGCTGGAGATGGGCTGTTGAAAAGGGCCAGACGGTCAGAATGGGCCAGGCATTGGGATTTATTGAAGAAGAATGAAAAATAAGATGTCTTTTGTCTGAATAGGACGGATGTCCATGTACACATATATACACCAATCGATTTAGAGCATCGTCATGAACAACACAAACGGAGAGCTCATTTTATCTTGTTTTCGTAGTCTCGCACTGCCGGCGCCACGGAGCGTTACTATCCATGGATGTCAGCAGAGCTTTCTGACGTCCCCAAACGTGGTTTGAATCCCGTCAGCGCATGGTGCATGGTGTCAGACGCTTATTTCGAATCGGCGGATTCAATTGGCTTCCGTCAGCGTGGCGCCGATCCCGTCTCACTTACATGGCACTTTTCATTCCGAAAGGATCTGAGAGACGACGACAAACAATTGTTTTACAATCATTTCAATGCATCAAATTCATTCCAAAAGTCCATCGCTAAAGATTGTCTAAGTAGCCAAACAGCGGGCCAAAAAAACTCCAGCAGATGCAGCTTTATATGTGTGTGTCTTTTCCTCCACTGACTTTCTACGCTCTAAAACCTCTCGGGGTGGTGTGTTTGTCTCTAGGCGTCACATTCGATGCTGCGCCTTAAGAGCTGAAGGTCTTGAAGATCTCCTCAATGGGCTTGAACTCCTTGGGACCAGCCTCGCCCGTCTTGCCGCCAAAGACGAGCTGGGCGTTGAGCTTCCAGCTGGCGGGGACCTTCCACTCGGCAGCGACCTGCTGGTCGACGAGCGGGTTGTAGTGCTGCAGGTTGGCGCCGAGACCCTCTGCCTCGAGGGCGGTCCAGATGGCGAACTGGAGCATGCCGTCGGACTGGTTGGCCCAGATGGGGAAGCGGTCGGCGTAGAGGGCGAACTTCTCCTGCATGCCGTTGACGACGTCCTGGTCCTCGAAGAAGAGGACGGAGCCGGCGGCGGCCTTGAACATGTTGAGCTTGCCGCTGGTGGACTCCCACTGCTCGGCGGGGACGATGGCCTTGAGGACGGAGAGGGCAATGTCCCAGAACTTCTCGTGCTCTGCGCCGTGAAGGACGACGACGCGGTTGGACTGGGAGTTGAAGGAGGAGGGGACGTGGGCGAGGGCGGTCTTTACGATTTCGTCGACGCGGGCGGTCTCGATGGGGAGGGTCTTGGAGAGGGGGTAGTAGGTGCGGCGGGCCTTGACGGCGTCGAGGATGAGGTTTGCGCTGGGGGCGGACATTTTGGCGGTTGTTGATGTAAAGGTTCTGAGGGACGGTTGTTGTTTGGTTGTGATGTTGGTGGTGAGAGGACGGACGGTGGAAAGTCTCTTTGTTGCTTGGATTGCTGTTCTGGTGATGCTGATCATGGTTCTTCTCTCTCTTAGATCTTTGGGATGGGGGAGGGCGTCTCGATGGGTTATATACCGAGGGGGAGGAGGGGGGGGGAATGGGAACCACAATAGCTACGGAGTATCCGTACGGACGCTAGGTACGGATACCTTTCCCATCCCGCCTTTGGATTTCTCCCGGAAAGCGTCTCAGAACCCGTTGGAAACCTCTCCCTCCATCCCTCGCACCCCTACTCCCCCACATCGACAGCAACGCCTAGCAACCACAGCAAGCAGCACTGCAGTAGCAAGCAAGCAAGCAAGCAGGTGCGCCAAACAGCTACACTACAAGCCCAAGGTCCCCGCTTCTCTGCCCCTCCATGCCATGGATCAGGGCGTCCCGATCATCAGATGGGGGCTCCATCCCCTGACTGAGGTGCTCGAGCGTCAAAGGCGTGCTTTGGAGGGACGGGGACCCGGCCGCTGAGCAAATGGTGTGGTAATCAAGCGTGTACTGGATTACCAATGGCACCCAATGATATCCAGCTGGGGCCAGTCACCAACATGATGTACCTTTACCTGGGACTAAGAGATCAAGACTGGCATAGCTGGCAAGGAGTCGATAGCGCAGAAAGGCTCCGGCGCTGAAGCGGAAATTTTTTCTGATTCCAATGGCCGACGGCGAGTCACATTTCGCTGCAGAATCGCATTTCTTTGTCATGTCACTCAACACATAAACTAGGCCGTATCGGGGAAGTTTGGAGGATGATTAAGCGGGCGGTACACGGATACGGAGTACTCAATTGACATCATTCCGTTGGCGGGGTACCTTTTGCATTTTTACCCCCGCGGAAACCTCATAAAGACAGCGCGGTAGGTACATACATACGCAGTACATAATGTAGGTGTTCACGACTCGATAATAGTTGGCCTTCTTACTCGCCAATTTTCATTATGTGTGCTAGCTACCGGTATTGAAAGACAATATTTTACGGGGTTTCCCTGGAGTAAGGTGCCTTATTGCTCGTTGTTAGCCAAAGTGGAAGAAGGGAACATGTCGTGGTTCGGGTTCCCGATATCCTCGGGAATCGGGGAACGATGCAGATACATCCACCGCGCGGGAATTGCATACGGATACACAGTAGAGGGAGAAAAAGCCCACGCGGCATGCGCCACGCCTCTCATGAAAATTCTAGAATAATGATAGACTACAGATACATCACACTACGAATGCATAGGTCCCCATCCAGCTCTACATAGTCCCCATGCAGGCGGTGAAGAATAGACCGGGGAGGAGACAACATTGGGGGCTAAAACAAGCCTCCTGGATAGCTTGCTAGCTTCCCCCAAGCATTTCCAATCTACCGCGCGTGTGTCTGTCATTCTCGTCTTCCTGATCGTCCGACCATCTTAGGTCTGTTTGTTTGCTTGCTGAGGGAATGAACACGTACAGAGAAATGCATAGCGATGCGCCTGCTCCTGCGCCTTTCCCGCGCGTCCAAGACTCGAAGCTCGCGGCCGACCTGCTCTAAGAAGGTATCCACAAGCACCCAGACCGGATCCTGCAGCAACACCAAGGCGCATCCAGAAGTCGCCGCATTTCATCCGAGACCCCTTCTCCCAAGTTCCCGCGCGGGTCGGGTAACTAACGACAACCGTTGACCGTGTAGTTCACCATCCGTGTCTCCAACGTCGCGGCGCGGTTGAAAGTAGAATGACAAACCAGCACGCCTGATTATCAATTCTGCAAAGAATTCACAGCGGCATCTGTGCCATTTGGTCCCTCTTTCGACGACATGTTCGCACTGATTCAGAGTATTGGGGCGCATCGATCAAACAAGCAAAGCTATCCTGAACGCAGAAGCACAGGGCCCCCCACCCACACTTACACACACCCGCGCGATGACAAGCAGCTGAATAAGCCAAAGGCCCCCTCCGATCCATAACCGCGCGCGAGAACCCACCCCGCCAGACCTACTCCCGCCAGCCCAGTACCAGCGCGTCCCGTTCGTTGCGCGGGTGACGGAGTACTCCACAAGGTACGAAGTACGGATATTCCACATGAAGAGTATGCGACCGGGAGTTTGTGTCCACCTCTATCTCCACTTCGGAGGTTGAGTGGTTGGTCGCCCTCTCCCACGGAAGGGAACATGCCCGGCGCAAAAAAAAGGTTTCGGGCTTCCGTTGTGAAGCACGGCGCATGCCCGTGTCTACCGTCTCTTTGCCAAGAATTAGAGAGTTGGGTCCCGGGACCTGTCAGCACCGGCACAAGCACTTTTCGCTGGCGGTACCGGATGTTGAAGTTGCTGTTCGGCAGGTGGCGATATTTCAGAAGGACAAGTCCGTTCCGGGGCGGGGGGGACGGAAATACGGAATTACACTCCCGTTCGGGGGTCACGGATTTATGCACTGGGTATTTCCCAGCAAAGTCCATATGTACTGGCGACAACAATCTTTGCTGAGCGGTGTGCCAAAAAGGAACGTTTGGTTGCCATCACAAGTTCTTTCATGATAGTAGCATTTGAGGGGATATCTACATTGGCCAACGGAGGAGAATCCGCCAGACGGTTGCCGTTCTGTAGATCGTCGCGGGCCGACCAGTATGTCGATAGGGGCCGTGGTTGTAGATAGTATGTTCGGTGCGATGGGTTTGAACGGGGAAGAAGAAGGTCATCTCCATAAACTCACCAAAATAGAATAAGTAGTTAGTCATTTTTCTTCCCTATAACGTTCGCTCGTATTCGTCCACGAACGTATTACATCTACTGCGTGCGGATGGGTAGAAGAGAGAAAGGTGATATACTCGACACGACCTTAGTACCTTGTAAGGAGGAATCTCTAGGTGGAAGCTTCATGGACATGAACGTTTGTGAATGGAAGAAAACAAGCTTGGCATAGGTCTCCCGCGCCGAGAGAACTCCGCATCGAGATGCTTTCTGTGCTCTCGCCGTGAAGCTGTAGAGCAAGGGATACAGGGTATAAGAGAAGGCAGTCAGGGAATGTCAGACACGGGTATGCAGGCATAAGTGAGGTAAACCCCACCTACTCACCATAAGGTACTTCACAGAGCAAATTGTACGCTACCCTTCCTTTGGTTATAGGGAATTTGATAATTGCTGTAAATCTTTTCCTATTTGTTAAGAGAGTCTCAATGAAAGAAAGTCTTGATATTTCTTCTCCGAGGTCACTGGTATGAAAGAACAGGCTGCTTCTGAAGGCTCTTAGATATTTTAGCGATATGCTCTTATAGCTATCTACCCTAAGGTCTTTATAATAAATACGTAGATTGATACCTATGAAATTGATCATGGATTTCTTTGAGAAGAAAGGCATTTTCGTCAAAAGCCTTGTTACTGTTCTTCTTTTAGGCATCCTTGGTGGGTTCTCTTGGTATTTCCACTTATGACACTGATCTCACTTACACGGGAGCACCTACTAACATCCTTCTAACCAGCCCAGCCATATACCTCGATAAAGGGCGCCTAGGAACGGTATAATTAGAGCCGTTTACTCAGTTAAACATACTCTTACCCCTAGGGGTATACCTGAATGTACTAAAAGACATCAATGGCGAGCCTCTATCTATCTTGCCAACCTGGCTAGACATCATCGATGATTGCATTCGAAAGTTAGGTAGCCTCACAGTCGTTCATAAGAGAACAACAGCCTACCTTGCTATACCAGTGAAGTAGTGATTACCTAGTCACCACCGACACTTCTTACTCATGGCCTTGTGAAGTCTCACGAACCTCCTGAACTTTTAGTATGTTAAACAGTTTTGTGTTAATGCTACAGTGAAAGCCATCGCCTATACTACATACATGCCACAGACGCTGCGACTAACAACGCCCAAGGTAAAGCAATCCAATGAATGCCTTGTTTGAAAACCCATTTTGACTCCCGTCAACACCATCATGTCGTAGTTGACAAGAAAAAGAGAAAAAAACCCTGTCTCGCAACAGCCCAATGTCTTTTATGGTTGTCAGAAATCATGTCCCTTAGTCCGCCCGAAACGCCGTCTAGGTTTGTGCCCATTTTGTTATGAGGTTGCATCCCTCTCCATATCCCCCATGCTCTTAATATGTTTCGGGTGTCATTGACCTTTTTTGTATTTTTTGTCGCCATGCGCGGCTGTTGGCATTTAATCTCTTACGTCCGATGAGACCGAAGCCGTTTTTATGTCCGAGTTCGGTGGCACAGCAGCGCCAGGCACCGATTGATCGTCCGCGTCAGCCATAAGCCGCCCGCCCCGACCATGTAATCACCGAATTCGCATCCCTCCGGCACTGGCGGACTTTTGGGGCCTTTGGTAGGAGACTTATAAAGTGGCGGGGTGTGCCCGCCCACCACAACCTTACCATGTCTCGGCAATGTACTGGCCGGCCTCCTTCTTGAGCTCCCAGTACTTCTTCGCCTCCTCGCGTTCGAGATTGCCCTTTTGCATGGCCACATCGACGAGAGCCTCTTCGACGCCCTCGCCCATGCCCTTGGTGCTTCCGCACACGAAGACACGACCGTCGACAGCGTTGGCTATGTACCACACCAGGTCGGCCTGGTTGCGCACCTCCTCTTGGACGTAACGACTCTCGCCGCGACGGCTCTGGACAACACGCTTGACCTCGTCCTCGTGGACGCCCCACTCGCCGCTGTAGATCTCGTCGACAAGCGAGTCACGAATGCCCTGGAGAACCCAGACCTTGTTTGCGCAGTTGGCCGTCTTCAAGCGACGCTGGACGAAGCCTCTGAACGGAGCGATGCCAACGCCAGCACCAATGAGGAGCATGGGGCCGTCGGAAACAAATTGCTTGGCGAGAGGATTGGCCATGAGGCCCTTGAACATGGGGATGTGGATCTCTGGGGTCTCCCCGTTGCGCTTCGCCTCCAGCCACTTTTGGGCCTGGCGCTCGAAGAAACCGGAGCCAATACCGGTACGGAGGCCGCGACGCCAGTCAGCAGTCTCATGAACCGTGACGGCAATCTCAATCAGCCGGTGCACCTTGCCATCGCGCGTCTTGTAAGCGTCGTGCGGGTCATTGGACAGGGAGTAGAAGCGAGGCATCAACGTCTGCAGGGAAGACAGCAGGAGATCCATGGGCGGGTGGGAGCTGGGGAACGCGTGCAAGAGCTGGGAAAGAGAAACGTGAGGTCCGGTGCGGAAGTCGCAGAAGACGCCCTGGCCTTCGGCGGCACAAAGGTACGTCAACAACTTCTTCTCATTAAGGTCCTCGGCGTACTCGGCAAGAATGCGCAGAAGCTGCTTGGTCGGCGGGTAGGACTGGATATCGGAGCACCAAGTAAGCAAGTCCCGGCGCGTGGTGACCATCTCACGGGCCTGGTCGTCGCCCCACACGGTAGGCCAGCGGCCCTTGGTGGTCTTCATCAGGACCGGCTTGTCCCGAAGGAACCGAGGCACCATGAGGGCGTCGAAAACGTCGTCGACACACTCCTTATCGTTGGGGGCCATAACACCAATGGCACCGCCGACCCTGAAGTCCATGTCTTCCTCGCCCGGGTAGCTTGTGATATCAAGGTCGAAGTGGTAGGTGCGCTTCTCGGCGCCGGGCTTGGTTAACTCGCGGGTCGAGTCGATGCGGGCGGCGTAGACGTGGTAAGGCGGGTGGGGTTGAACGTATCTGGGAGGCTCTCGGGCGGTATCGATGTTGTCGATTGTGAAGTCCTTGAACTGGTTCTGGACAGTGGCGAGTGTCTCTGCCGTCTTGTCCTCGCGTGCATCAGCACCCAGAGAGATTGCCGAGTCTGTGGGAGACGAGGCGATTGCGGGGGTGGCAGTGGAACGAGGTACGGGCTCGAAGAAGACGGTTTGCTCGGGCAAGTCGGCGATGTTGGTCAACTTTGTGGGGATGTCGCCAATCTTAAGGGCGAGTGACTTGTACGCGTGGTTATCGGGGAAGGGGATGCTCTCGTATTCGAGGCCCTCCTTCTTGGCACCCAGCTTCATGCAGCAGCCGCCGCCGCAGCATCTCTGGATCAATTGAGCTGTCGACTCGCCTGTGATACGCTGGATGTCGGCAGGGCTTTGGGCAATGAGGCGGGTCGAAGCGCGCCGCCTCCTAGGGGCTTGGATTTCCTCATCTTGATCCTCTGACTCTTCCGAGTAGGTGAGGGAGGGTGCGACAGAAGAAACGCTGGGCTCCTCGGGAATGCAGTTGCTGGTAGCCCCGATGAGTTGGGAAGCCATGGCTGTGGTTGCCATTGTGCTGTGCATGGCGATGTTTTTGCGTATGTCGTCGAAGATGTTGTTTAGGTGGCGGAAATACGGATGCCGATGACCTAAACGACTTTGGTGGGTGACCGTGGGCCAAAAGACTTTGGCGTAGAGGACGACGTAAAGTATACGTGAGTGAAAGGATGGAGGGGCGGATAGTCAGTAGGTCCTCAGCATGCTGTGGTGAGAGCGGGACAGAGGGAGTCTTGTAGGATTTGCTGAGAGGCTGTGGGTTGTCAGATGGATGAAACCAGGTTGTGGAATTCTTGATCAGATAAGTTTGATCAGATAAGCCGAGGTGTGTGTGGTGTAAGGTAGGGAAAAGAGAAAAGGAGCGAGAAAGTATCGGGCGGAAGGGTGAGGAATGTTAAGTCTTTGGGACGTGGAGAGGTCGATGAGGTAAACCGTAAAAATGGCGGGAAAACCTGGTCCAGGCCCCGGGCAAAGAAAAGGCGTACGGAGTAGTAGGGGAGTAGGTACTTGGGGAAGAATAGGTGAGGTTTGTCGATCTCTAGACCGAGGGAGTATGGATACTGGAGCAAGGAATGTACTCTTTTTTTTGCTGCACCTTTTTTAAATTTCGACTGGAACCGGCCGGAAAAGACAGGCACAAGGGATTGATGATATCCAGGCTGGCCAGTAGTGAAGGAGTACTCCGTATACTGCGTACTAAGGTGCGTAACAAATGCAAGGTAAAAAGCGACCAGGTGCAATCGAGTAACAGTGAAGGAAAAGGAAGAAGAGTGCAAAGTCTCCGTTTTTGGGTTGCGACAGGGGACCCTGGAATGCCCCTGTTGGGCCTAGCCGCCACAGCGGTGGCACCGTGGTAGTGGCCGCAGCCGGACAGTGAGTGGGTCTTGCGATTTACACTGTCCACGTGCCGGAGATGTTTGGCACTGTCCACGGTACGTATCGCTTTCGGGCTTGGCTTGGCCCCCAAGCGGCGTCGACGGGCTGCGCATCATGATTTGATTGCTGATTGATGACCTGAGCATGCAGAGAGAGCATTTGTTCATCTTGGGTAATGATGAATGACCACTGGGGTAATGTGCGACAGTGACGGTTGTAGATGACTGTAACACCAGCATCACCGTTGACTAAGATTCAGCCTCGATCCGGGCATATTTTGGTTGGCACGGTTGGATAAACAGAATAGTACAATTTACGGGTACTGAGGTGGCAGTGGACTGTTGCGAATTGCCGTTACCGAGCAAAAGAAAGAAATATGTCAGAATGCGTCACGTCAATTCCAGCACGTCCGAGCTCGCACTCGCGCTCGGGTGCTTTCCATGCTTTCCATGCTTTTCAGGCTGCTTTCGCCCAAGATGCCTTGCCTTATCAATCAGATTAGCAGCATCAGAAATGCAAGCACTTGCAGAAAACTCAAGAAAGTCACGGTCCACGGACACCCAACACGAGACCGCGCGCTGGGTCCTTCCTGTGTTCCCAACGACCCCTCCACTCTTGCA